CCTGATTACTTGGGTAGATAAGAGATGCAATATCTCAAATACTAACATATATGGTATACCATCTTCTTTTCGGAAACAACCTCTCTACCCCTGCGAAGGTAGGGGTAAGGTCTGGATATACCCCACACTCCCCACACACCACTTGTGACATCACACTGGATATTTTGTATTACGGTGTACTATCTTATATGCTAGCACAAAGTTTTTTGTTTCCTTTCACACATGTGGTATCCTGGTAAGAAGTAGAAACATCAACACACAAAACGAAAAGGTAAGATACATATGTGTGTATCTAAGTATACATGTGTGTACATATGAGTATGTGTATATAATTCTGGGGCAGATTCTATCCTTTGTTTCCCAAGATTTCAAGATAAGTTTGCTCATGGTACTCAAGCATTATTGGCTGGTCCTGTGTAGTGGGTACTGACAGCACAAGATAAGAAAATACAGTTACAGAGGAGCTAAAAACTACTACATCAAATAGGGAAAAGCTGTTAAACAAAAAAGACAACAAAAATTATTTGGCATGAAGGGTGAAAAATTGCTAATTACTACTGGTTAAACATTGATCGAGTTGTAAATTATCTTAAACAAAGCTAGAACTGCAACCACTGTATAGGTGTAAACATCAAATCACCACAACTAGTAGTATACCTGCATTGCATATGAAGAGGAAATATGGTACTGGCTTTCGGTTGCCTCATATTCTGGTATAGATTCCAGCATTCCTTGCCTTTGTTGCTTCTTCCGGTGTCCGAGTTCTAAGGTCCTTGTCAGTATAATTGGTTTCCCTGAGAAACAACCAGCCACATAAACTTCAATTACAGGAGAAACCAAATCCGTACCGAGGTGTTGGTTTCCTTTAAGAAAGCTAGAACTAGAGCCAGCAAGCACATCTGTTTCACAATTGATGCTCCAAGATTGACCATGATTTTCAGATTCACCGATAAACCCATTGCTATCACATAGTTCTAATGAGCCATACAACACAACAACATCCCTATCGTAAACCTCAAATCTCACACTTCCTGTCATACTTATACTATCCGTACTAACAAAAGTGACCTCCTCAGATTTCTTATCGTACCTATCTCTTCTGAGTACAGTGGATACCCCATCAGAATAAATTCCAGTCCGTGCACCATTCACTTCCAAAAGTGTATCGCGATTCAGCGGAACATGGTTCACCGTGAGGTACTCGGCGGTCAAATCATCAAGCTCACATTTGCTAATTCTAACATAAAACACTCTCAAATCTAACCATTGTAAAGATAGCTTAAATCCTGGCTGATAAGGAGAGTGCCTCATGAGGCTGTGGCCATTCTCAGCCACTCCATACCCATTCTCGTGCGAGTTCTCCATTCCTTCACAAAAATCAAGGCTATTGCTCACCAAAATCCATCAAGATTTAGTTGGCAAGGAACCCCAAAAGTAGGATTCATAACAGTGAAGAGAACCTGGCAAAAGAGAAAGCAACAAGACAGATATTGTTACAAATCCCACATATTTGAGGTAACTCTAAGACAAAAAGGAATGAATAAGAAACAAGTAGCATCAACTAATTATATCAAACTACTGAGATATAAACATGAAGGAGATGAATTTCCAATCAGAGAATCGGATAAAATAAAATTGGGGGTACAAGAAATGGAGAGGGGATTACAACTTACAAGGTGGTGAATGAACACTCACCAACAAGTAACAAGTGAAAGTTCAGATACTGAGACTTTCCTATTAAGAGATTCATATAGTACTAAAATCTTTCTTCTCCATTCACACAAGAAAAGAAGAAGGTTATAACTCCAAGAACAAAAAAGTGAATCACATATAAAGGTGGGACCTTTATAGAACAACAAAAATTCATATCTGGTAAAAAGTTTCAAAAAGCAATGGAACAGTAGAAGAAACCCCCAAAACCATCTTGACAGCAAGTCAACTAATAAAGATAAACTGGAGAGATAAGAAACCTTAAACTCCAACACAGTAAGCAGTAATTTCAAATCTTGAATTACCAAGAAAAGTACCCCATGAGCAGAAATGACAGTTGTGAATAATCAAGAAGATGAATGTATTACCAGAGATCAAGAAAGAGAGAGTGAATGTGAGCCCCTTCAATTCCAAAACCAATTTAATAAAATTTGTAACAGAGAGAGAGAGGGGGTCATTTATGAAGAAGAAAGTAAAAGAGCAACCAAATTCCAACAAAAGACTCATCAGCACTAAAAGACAGAGGTGTGAAGACGTCACGTATAGAAACAAACAAAATAACATAAAACACAAAACTTGTGTGAAAGAAAGATACCATCATTCATCATTTAGCAACAAACACTATTCCATGCAAACCATACAACTCACCTCTTTGCCTGTACTCTATCGAACACCAAAACTATACATGACTTCTTTCAACAATCCATATTTTTAACTTTCACCTCTAAATACTACTCACTTCGTCTCTTTTCACTTTGGTATTTGATAGTCAAATAATTTAATTATATTTTAACTCTCTTGAATATTTATATCTTTGAAAACATAAGAAGTACCCTAACAACTTAGAATATATAAACATATTCACCTCTTTTTACTTGTCCTTTATACTAAAATGTTCACTTTCACTTGTTGTTTTTATCCTATCAAAAGAAAACATATTTCTTTTACATGTTTATCGTTAACATTAATTACTTATTCACAAAAATATTATAATAAAATACATATATTAATATTTTTTAAGAGATATGTAAAATTCAAAATAGATAGTAAGAAATAATGTGCAAAGGGAGTATTTAAAAACATTACAATAAAAATAATAATCTGAATCTCAAATTAAAAAAAATATCAAATAAATTAGTATATACGGAGAAATATTAGAGAGGAAACTCCTTTTAACTAGTATAATCCCAAATTAAATTTGCTACACGTATAACATTAGTAGATGTAGAAAGAATCTAATTGTAAATAACAGAGGGATGTGTTATATATGAGAACTTGGACGAATCTAGGTAGAAGGTTCCGAATATCCTTGTAAAATAATAAATAATAAAATTTCTTTGACAAGAATTGAAACTTTCAGCTCTACTTCTTGCTAATTATTAAAGTTATTGATCTTTTTCTTTAGGCATTTTTTTCTTTGAATTTGATCCTGTCTCCGCCATCTGCAAGTAAAGCCAACCAATTTGGAAATATAATAGTATATATATTTTTTTTCAATTTATTTGTCTCTCTTTTTTAAATTAGTAAAGAAAAACTTTTCTTTTGATAACTTTTTAGTTTTGATTTTCTAGATAACAAATTATTTCAAATTATAAGATTAAAAAATATTTTGATAAATTTCATATTCGTTACTTTTTTGAATTTTGTAATAAGACAAATAAATTGAAACGGGGAGAGTTAATGAGCGAGGAAAGTGGAAATGCATGCATAAGCAAAGGAGGGAATGAACGGTTGGGAATAATATGGAGAATGGAGCCAAATGGTGTCTGTCGTTGCAAAAATATCTTATCCTGCATTGCACTGCACTGCACCAAAAGACTGAAAAGAGACACCTCCTCCCTATATTTTGTTTTAACAGTTTTCTGCTCCCACCAAAAGCAATCATCTTAAAAAACACGCACGTCATCCCCTCTACATATATATTTAATATTATCACACTAAAAACAATAATTCTATGTACTAGTACTTATTACAACATTGAAAGAGTACCGTTGAAAATTTCTCATTAAAAAGAGAATAAACAACGGTGATCTATCACATTTTAGTGGGGCATAGAATGTGATCATACTTTCTTTTTTTCATTTCCTCCAATAACATATTGAAGTTCGACTACATTTAGATGGCAGGTTGCAAGACCTAGAACACAAAACTTTCAATAAGATTCTTTTCATATTCAAAACTCCGACCTGAGAGAACCTGACAAATGGTTGCCTTAAGTTATTTTATATGCAATTCCATGAACATGCACTTGGCATGAATAGCTTTTGTTGTTCCTTTTATTTTCTTTCTTCTTATACACGCGCACTATCTGTAATAAAGTTAAAAGTAAAGCAACGGACGAGAAAGAAAACAGAATGCACCAAAGTATTGTAGTATTTATACTCCATATTTTAAATACAAATAATATATCTATCTATACTATATTATAAACATGAATATCCGTTGTTTGAACCTTCATTAAAAGACTTCGTTTTAGATAAAATTATCTTTTTACAAGGTGCACTAGATTTTTTTTATATACATTTCTCGACAAACAAATAAAATGATTCTAATATATTTTTAACGTTATTTACAACTTACTGTAATAAGTGTAAGTTGTATATTTCCGTTGAGATTCCTGGAGGAACACCAGTTTGGCTAAAGTATTTGAGGTTAAAAATGAATTGAAGTTGGGGAATAAAATATATAGCACGTGAACAACGTCCGACACATCATCTTCTTCATACCATAATCACGTGCTCTTTTATCATACTACCTCACGTAAATGTCTTCTAAAATATTTTCATCGAAAATTACGACATCTCGGTAACCACAGTGTCCATATGAAACGCAAAAAATATTTGTTGCCTACCATCGACACTAGTTGTGTGAAACTTTTCTATCTCACAATTTGGTGAACACAACATTATAAGGTTTGGGTTGACCAATTTGTGAGACGGCACACTACTAGGGTTAGTAGTAAGAAACACAACGTAATTTTACTCTCTACAGGCAATCATTTGAATTATTTTTCTCAACTTCCTGTTCTCTGAGTAGGCAGCACATAGAAGCCCATCTCTTGGGACCAACCATCTAAACATTGTTCAAGGTTTGAAAAGGTACTCAGATGTCAGTATGGTATTTTGTGAGGAAGATTCTCAACAACAACATAAACTTTGGAACCCATTTTTGCACCATAGTTTCCATCCATCACCAAAACAAACAGCTATACTAAGAGGAACTGATTTGCAACAACAATTATTACAATAAATGGCAATTGTAAGGAGAGAGCACTGGAAAATGAACAAAACTTCAATCTCTTTAGAACTATAAATGGATCATCCAGATCCAAATTGGGCAAGTCCTATCATGGTTTCATATAACTTTTCCATGAAGACCCCATTGGTACGAAAGGAGTAATTGCGGTGACATAGCCACTTGAGTCTATGACCATGGACGTTTACTTTACAGATACTCAGCTTGCCATACCAGAAATCTAGTTCAAGATAATGCTCTATTTCATTCACAGATTGGTACGAAATAGAGCCATCTTAACAATCAAAATACAAGGGAAAGTACAAATAAGAGCATTCACCAACACCCTTTATTTTGTGGATTACTTTATAAGAAATTTCAGCTTATATTTGACGAAAAAACTCAGCGATAGAGACTTTCAGATCTCAGATTCTCTGCAATCTCAGTTTCCCATCGATCTCCATTCTCAAGAAGTTTCTCCTTGTCGTAAAGGAGTTCCTGATGCATGCAATTTATATTAGTCAAGGTATGTAACAGTAGAAGTTCATTTATTTCAAATTTTTTGCTAATATAATTATTACAACGGACCTCATGAGTTTCAGTTGCAAACTCAAAGTTGGGCCCCTCAACAATGGCATCAACAGGGCAGGCTTCTTGGCAGAATCCACAGTAGATGCACTTTGTCATATCGATATCATACCTGTAATCGTTGATATAGACATGAGCATGGATGTCCAAGTATCTAATGGGACATCAGCTAACTGATAAAAGTGTACCTAGTTGTTCGACGACTGCCATCTTCTCGCTCTTCGGCCTCGATTGTGATAGCTTGAGCAGGGCAAATCTGTTAAAAATCCCAATTCATTTGCATCAGTAACATAGGTAATCATATACTTCAACATGTAGAATGCTAGCAATATCACCCACACAAGTCTTAAAATAAGTAGAGCACTATAGCAGTATATATTCCCTAATATCTCTTTTGTAAAAAAAAACACAAAGAAGATATATATAATCCACCCTAAGAAAAGCTTCTTTTTAGGTTGAACTGCTAAAAAACAGTGCCAATTGGGGGTGGCACAACAGTTTTATCACGTTTAGTTCACTTAATCTTAGTTTTCAAATAGACAAACTGATTATGAGATTATTTACACAGTTCAAAACATTATTGTGCTTCCATAAAGAATATATTGTTGTACAGATTTCCCCATTACGCATATATTGTCAACTTGAGCTTAATCAACATACTACCCAAGATCAGGACCCTTGATCTAGAAAAGAGGGAGTTCAGTCAAGCAGTTTCTGTGATCTTACAGTTTATTATCTAAAGCACATATTTCACTACTATTCTTCCTATTTTAATTATAAAGAAACTGAGAATATATTTGTGAATAGCAGAAGCAAATCAACGTGCCTGCCTCTGTACTTCTATATATATATATATTCTCATGGTATCAGATAGCCAGAAATCCATCTAATTTCTTCTCTACGACATGGCGTCTTCATCTTCCACTACACCAGTCGTTCCTTCTAGCGTCATTACTATTCCAGGTTCAAGTGTTCCTTCTAGCGTTACTGCTATTCCAGGTTTAAGTTTTCCTTCTAGCGTCAGTACTATTGCAGGTTCAAGTTTTCCTTTCTTTGGTCTGCCTCCTCCCGTTAGCATAGATTCTCAGACTCTACCAAATTTCAATTCTGTTGCTGCTCTTGCTACCCCTAATGTCACCAATTTAGTGACCATTAAGTTAGGTTCTGTGGAGGACTACCTCACATGGCGCACTCAGTTCACCTCTCTACTACTTTCCCACGAGCTTATGGGGTTCGTTGATGGCTCAATTCCTCACCCTTCTCCTCTTCTTGGTGATGCATCTGGCAATCACCAACCAAATCCTCTCTATCGCTCTTGGATAAAAATTGATCAAAGTGTCCGTTCTTGGTTATTCGCAACACTATCTCGTGACGTTCTTCTTGATGTTCATCTCCTTCCTACATCTAGAGATATATGGTTATCCTTACATCGACGCTATATGGATGCGAGTCCGGCTAAATCTATTGAGTTGAAACGCCAACTCACTACCCTGCGAAAGGATGATAATATGAGTATTGATCAGTACCTTCGCATTGCCAAACAAATAGCTGATTCTCTTGCAGCAATTAATTCACCCGTCCCTTCTCAGGATTTCATTGATCATGTTTTACTTGGCCTTGGAAAAGAGTATGACACCTTGGTTGGCATCATTACACATTTTCCTGGTCACTTATCGCTTGAAGAGCTTCGTACCAAACTTTTACTTCATGAGCAAAGGTTGCAGCGTTTCAAGGAACTTGACTCGCCAATTACGCATCAAGCATTTGCTGCGCATTCTGTTTCTACAACTACTCAAGACTCTGACTCTCAGTTTGGTTCTGGTCGTGGCCGAGGTTGATCTTCTTCCAGAAGTCGTGGCCGTGGTGGCAAAGGTCGTGGCTTTGGTGGTCGTGGGCAGCAACCACAAACTTCGTTTGTTTCCATCCATGAAAGAATGGAAGTAGTTAGTAGCTAACCCAGAATGCAAGAAGTCACACACCTCAATGAAGCAGTAGAAGACCAACACTAACATCATAATAACCCAAATCTCAACAAACAGAGAACAACGACAGACACAGGTCCGAATTAGTAGTGTGTAAACATAAATTGCAGTACAATCATAGTAGGTCAGCACTTACAGCTTCACAAAGTTTACATGCAATGCATCTTTCCTCTCCTGTGGCATAACGTCGCAGGGCGTGTTCTCCACGGAAACGAGGGCTTAAAGGCCCCTTTTCAAAAGGATAGTTTATCTGCAATATAACGGTATTTGATTTGCTACTCAAAAAGGTAAAGTCTGAGAGGTTAGCATATCAAATGCTACCACCGAAGATGAGTTGAAGACTGTCCAATTGGCAATCGAACAAAAACTTTTAAAGGTAAAAAGCTAGTGGAAGCATGAGAGACTTACAGTCACTTTCTTTTCAAAGAAGTACTTGAGCGTCAACATCAGACCTCGAACCATTTCAGTCAAAAAGAGTGTGTTTATGCTTCGCTCAAAGACTGCATTTAGTCAAAAAAATCAGAAACAGGAAATGCCAAAGGCATCGCTAGGGGAATTTAAATGCTACACAGAGTCAGAATTCTTTAAAAGGATTTACCTGAATTCCAATCTTTTGATAGTTCCTTTGCTAGCTGCTCTCTTTCTTCATCATCTGACATGAAAGAAAAAGCAATGGACCATGGAAGTAAGTTATACTGAGGAACCCCAAAATAAGGCACTAAAAGACCCAGGCGACTGATAACAAAGCAATGACTTTCAGTTGAGTAGTACTAACTACTTTCTATTATGAACTTTGAGTTGAGGAGTACTAACTACTTCGTCATCGGAGTAAATTATTGCTCCGAATCATTTAGAACCTCCTATTAAGACCCTCAAGAATTGGTTTTCATATACCCCAGCGTTTACTGAAAAAAAACCAACATACTCATGGTGCAGTGCCAATCTAGAATAATAATGTGCAACAGAAAAAATGGGGCAATCTGCCATTAAATAGAATCCTATGCACGCATGCGACTGATTTCCTCACTCAAAGTGCATTCAGTGCTTGAATATTTGGAAAGACGATTTTATGTTTCATCTTATCTCTGTTGAAGGTTATATATTTTTAGCAAAGTCTACATCTTTACACATGCAGCAAATGATGTTACCTTCTCCAATATGCATCGGGTTCCAACATGTTGGACAAGTATTCTGATAGCCTAGCCTTCTAAATCCATTTAGAATTGCAAATGGATTTCCCAACAGGTGATTAGACGGCATAATAGACAGGTGTTTCTACTTGCAAGAATTTGCACGGTCCCATTCAGAATAACTATGTACCATGTTACGAGCTATTTTGGTTGTAATATTATCTTAGCCACAATAGAAATTGGATTGCGGACATTAATACTATAGACATGAGCAAAACAAGAATATCATGCGCAAGATGATGCTTGACCTACTTTTCTCTCAAAATCTTCCATGGAAAGTAATACTCATTTCAAATATCAGAAAAGGTTCTAGTGGTCTTATAATCTAATTATTTAACCCGAAAAAAATAAAATATATGACTGAGGTCCCCAACAAATTCTAAACATCCCATATTTCCTACTCCTCCCTTGGTAATTGTGCTCATCTAAGTGAGCAACCCAGTAGGAAGGGAAGGTACTACGTACCACACTGTGTAACATTTACATCCCCACTAAAGCTCAAAAGTTATTCCAGTGAGCTACAATCTTTTCTCTACAGCTACATCATCCACATACATGCTTCACATGCTAAGAGACTCACGGCAAAGGGTGGTGGATTTGGGTAGGGGGGCTGGAGAGCGCAATACAAACCTTTGTCGGTTGAAAACGAATGCTTGGTAGCAAATGATCGAGTACCAAGTAGAGTTCCATTAGGTGTATTAGTCCCTTGCCATGCTTGTCCAGCCAAAACCTACAGTTCCCACAGAAAGAAAAAAGTGTCAAACCATTCTATTAAGCCATAAGATATGGAATGCACATATACATACACATACATATACAAGGAACCATACTGACCAAGAACCTACAACATAGTAAAGTAACAGCAGACTCTCGCATCTCCGGATAAAGTTTCTCAACAGACACAATGTAAAGTTTAAGAGGTTAAAAAAGAAGGAAATGTTTTTAAAATGGTAAACCCACACCAAACCCCCTCCCCCACCCCACAGGATATCCAACAGTAGTACAGTACAGCTTTCCCACTTTGCCTTGTAATGTAACTCTGAACCCTCAACCTTATTATAGAAAACGGATGTCCTTACCACCAAGATATCCATCACTTGTCAAAAGCAAATACACATAGTATAAGAGAGTAAAAGTACTGGCATCCATAATGTTGAGCAGTTGACTAGGGAAAGCCTGAATTGTAATCCATCACTCAGCATCTCCTCCATAAACAGCAATTTCTACACATTTCTTTCTCTTTAACCTATCTAACCCCGTCAGTCCCTACAAGTATTTAAGCTAACCCGTACAAGAATTATTCCAAATTTATCTTCTTGCGATTTGAATCGGGCAATAGAAAGACAAGACGAGACGGAGAGTAGAGTGGGGAACAACAAATTGTGCCCTAAAGAGTAAAGACGCCCCATATTCTTATCCAAAATGAGAGTCTCCCTCCAACACCCAAATCCATCACAACACTAATTTTCAAACATGAGGTCGTTTCCATAACCTTGTCTAATTGCAAACCTAATGCCTAGGAAAGTTAATACCGATGAAATTGAGTGTCCAAACGGTTTAATTGATATCAGTAAAGTTAGGGTTCAAGAAACCATTCTGACGAGAAATTGAGTCTGAAACAACTGGAGATGTAAGAATTAAATGATGAAAAGAAAGAGATAGAGAGAGACTTACAAGCTGACGAGAACGAAGAGCAGATAAAGACTTGCGAGCTAATATAGCGGCCATTGGAGTCCAGATGCGAGAAAACCAAAAGCGATTGGCCAATAACTGAAATGTTCCGCTTACACCTATTATACTCGATCGGTTCACCGGCTTATGAAACCGTCTCAACATCCTACGGAGTATTTATTTTCTTTTCGGAAAAGGGTCAAAAATACCCTTAAACTATTCGAAAAGGCTTAAATATATCCCTCATCCACCTATTGGGTTAAAAATACCCCTCAGTCCACCTTTTTGGTGCATTTTTACCCTTAAAACTAACACTCTTTTATTTTTTTAATTATTTTTATTATTATTTATTACGTGGCATCTTCTAATTGGATAAAACTAAATTCCTACCCATTAAATTTTCCTTCATCCGCCCCGACCCATATCTATAGCCCCATCACCCAAACTCAATTTAAAGACCCTTTAAAAAAAACATCTCTTTCTCACTAAAGCTATTTCAGAATCACCCATCAACTACAAGAAGAAGCATTTTCAGATACTTCAACTGCTGTGTGAAAGCTTGAATTTGATTAGGATTGATTTTTGAGTATTTTTCTAACTTTGCTGTAAGATAATGTTTCAAGGTTACTTTATGGTAACTCTTCTAAGAAATATCAACTTATTCTGGCTTTTGAAGATTGTGAAAAAAAGAAGAAGCTATTTTAGGACCAAGTTAAAGAATTAAGCAACTTCATTTGATGTATATGTTATAGAAAATTAGTGCATCTTACTTATTTAATTAAATATCTACTGGTTTGCCTTGGCAAGACTTAGTCTTTGTTTCTGTTATGTTATTTAGGTTTGAATAAGTATTTTAGGAGCTATTTTAGGAGCAGGTTGTTTAGCTTATTTTCTGGAGAAGTTTGTTAACTTTTAGCTTATAAATTTCAGATGTAATGTTTCGTTTCTCTTTAGGAAAATAAAAAGAGTCTTATTCCCAAATATCTTCATCTTCTGCTTTCTATTTTTTGTTTCATATGTTTCTTTCTTAAAAACCACGTATCAGCAATTCATGTCTCTGTCAATTTTTGGTATCAGAGCTTCGTTACAGTATTTGAAGTTGTGGAGTTATGGAGTTATCAAATGCAGGAAACAATTCCACATCAGGAATTGAGAAGCTTGTAGGGACGAACTACAATTATTGGAGATTGTGCATGGAGGCATATCTTCAAGGACAAGATCTGTGGGATTTAGTTACAGGTGTTGATGCTATTCCTGCTGATAATCCAGAAAATGTTGAACCAAGGAGAAAGTGGAAGATAAAGTGTGGAAAAGCTCTCTTTGCTCTGAGATCCTCAATTAGCAAAGACTTCATTGATCATGTTCGTGATGTAAGTTCACCCAATGAAGTATGGGAGACACTTGAAAGAATATTTTCCAAGAAGAATACAGCAAGGCTACAGCTGTTGGAAAATGAGTTGGCGAGCATAACACAAGAAGGCATGTCTATTTCTGAATATTTTCTGAGAGTGAAAAGCATTTGTGCTGAAATTTCAGAATTAGACATGGATGAGAAAATTAGTGAAGCAAGGCTGCGGCGATTTCTCATTCGGGGACTGAAGAAAGAATATAACCCCTTTGTCACTTCGATCCAAGGATGGGCGACACAGCCGTCAGTTGAGGAATTAGAAAGCTTGCTTTCTAACCAAGAGGCTCTAGCAAAACAAATGGCAAAGAATTCGGATTCAGAGGACGTTCTTTTCTCAAAAGGAAAATCTGACAGCATACGTTATCCAAATAAAAGCACAATTAAATGCTACAGATGTGGCCAAATTGGGCACATTAAGAAGAATTGCCGAGTAAAGCTTTCTAGAGCAAATATTGCAGGTGAGCTGGAAGATGATGATGAAATAAAATGGGAGCAATGCTTTACAACAGAAGAAATTGACGGAACAAACAAGACTAGTGCTGAGTTGCTACAAGCTCTCTCCAATCATGAATCATGCAGAGAGTGGATCATCGATTCAGGTTGCTCTCATCATGTAACCGGAGATGACTCACTACTTTCCGAAGCTCGCCAACACAGGGGAGAGAGAGTGATTGTTACTGCAGACAATTCAACTTATCCAGTAGCAAAAGAAGGGGTGATAAAGATTAGCACTAACGACAACAATGCTATCAGGCTGAATGATGTTTTTCATGTTCCAGGTTTGAAGAGAAATTTAATTTCTGTGTCTCAAATTACAAACTCTGGAAAATATGTCTTGTTTGGACCAAATGATGTTAAAGTTCTTGCAAATGTAAAAACCATAGATGCTGATGTTGTTACCTCTGGAGAGAGGAAAGGTTCTTTATTTGTAATGTCTGCAGGGGAGGCATATGTGAAAAAGACAAGCCAAACTGATAGTGCAACAATCTGGCATGCTCGTTTGGGTCACTTGAGCTACCAACTTTTAAAGGAAATCTCCTCAAAGAAGTTAGTGGATGGCATACCAAGTTTACAAAATGTTCGTGAGGATGTAATTTGTCAAGGATGTCAGTTTGGCAAGTCGCATCGTCTTCCTTTCATGAAGTCATCCAACCGTAGATCCTCCATGTTCGAACTAGTCCACACTGATCTAATGGGACCAATGAAAACGACAAGCTACCGTGGGAATCGTTATGTCATGGTGCTGGTGGATGATTTTTCAAGATTTACTTGGGTGAAATTCTTGAAAGAGAAAAATGAGGCACTGTCCAAATTTAGCGAATTTGCATATGATGTTCAAAAGGAATTCGGGGTGAAGATCAAATGCTTACGAAGTGACAATGGAGGAGAATTCATGTCAGAGGATTTCTCTCAATACTGCAACAAAAATAACATTTTGCGACAAATGACATGTCCAAATACACCTCAGCAAAATGGTGTTTCCGAAAGGAAATTAGTTCATCTTGCCTCTGTGAGTGTATCTTGGATACATGACAAAAGTCTACCTCGAGAACTTTGGGCTGAAGCTTTTCAATGTGCATGCCATGTGATAAACCGCTTACCTCCATGGCCTGGTAAGGAAAAATCTCCTTTTGAGAATTTATATGGTAACAAGCCAACTGTGATTTACTTTCGAGTTTTTGGTTCAATTTGCTATGTACATGTTCCAAAGTCTAACCGGACTAAGCTTGACCCGAAAGCAAAGAAATGTGTTTTTGTTGGTTATGACTCATGCAGAAAAGGATGGAAGTGTATGGATCCAGAAACAAGGAAATTTATTGTTTCAAGAGATGTGGTGTTTGATGAAGTCTCATCGTATTACTGTGAACAAAAATCCTCAACTGAACAAGTCATTCTTGATGGTGATGCAGAGAATATGGAGTATCCAGGCCACAATTTAGAAGAATCCTCAGCTTCAAATACCTCGAACCTTGATGGTGATGAGCATATCCATAGAAAATCAACAAGGGAGAAAAGGCAGCCAAGTCATCTTGATGATTATGAGGTTCAAATAAACCCGTGTACTGTTACCTCATGTCTTTTCGCAGGAACACTGGATGAAGAACCAGTAAATTTCGAAGAAGCTAAAAGGTGTCCTGAATGGGAAGCAGCTATGCAAGAAGAGATTGATGCACTACACAAAAATCAGACATGGGAGCTGGTTCCAAAACCAGAAAATTGCAATCCTATCACTTGTAAGTGGGTATACAGGTTGAAAAGGAAGTCTGATGGGACCGTTGATAAATGTAAAGCTCGACTTGTGGCTCGCGGGTTTTCTCAAAGCTATGGGATGAATTATGAGGAAACATTCAGCCCTGTTGCAAAAATGGTAACTTTGAGAACCATTTTTTCTCTTGCCTCTTTCAAAGGTTGGAAATTATGGCAACTTGATGTGAAGAATGCATTTCTTTACGGAGAACTGGATCGTGAAGTGTTCATGGAGCAGCCAAAAGGATATGTTTCAGAACAATATCCTCATTATGTTTGTCGACTAAAGAAGGCATTATACGGTCTTAAGCAAGCTCCACGTGCTTGGTATGGTAAAGTTGCTCAATACTTTATCTTTTGCGGGTTTCAAGTTTCAAGTGCAGATTCTAGTTTGTTTATTAAAGTAGAATCAAATATGCACCTGTTGGTCCTTTTGTACGTGGATGATATGATTATTACTGGTGATAATGAAGCCGAAATCTCTATGCTAAAAGATGAACTGTCTATTCGCTTTGAGATGAAGAACCTTGGAGAGGTAGGTTGTTTTCTGGGTTTGGAAATTGAAAAGATTGATCAAGGGTATTTTGTTTCTCAAAAGAGATATGCTATGGAGCTCGTACAGCGTTTTGGCATGGGGAAGTCAAAAAAAAAAAGGCAACTCCTATGGAGTCACATCTCAAGCTGGTGAAAGATGAAGGGGAGCTGCTGAAAGATGCAAAGAGATTCAGACAACTTATTGGTAGTTTAATCTACTTGACTATCACAAGACCAGAAATTTCATATGCAGTTGGCATTGTTTCGCAATTTATGCAAAATCCAAAGACTCCTCACTTAGAAGCAGCAAAACGAATCTTGAGATATATACACGGGACTTTTGATTATGGGCTTCTCTACAAGAAAAGTGATGATTTTTTGTTGAAAGGGTTTACCGATGCAGATTGGGCAGGCAATGTAGATGATCGTCATTCAACTTCAGGCTATTGTTTTAGTGTTGGTACTGCTGTCATCTCATGGTGTAGTAAGAAGCAACATACAGTTGCTTTATCAAGTACAGAGGCGGAGTACATGGCAGCATCTATGGCAGCTCAAGAATGTATATGGCTAAAGCAATTAATTGGAGATGTTTTTGGTACAAATGACTATGCTGTAGAAATTTTTTGTGACAATGAAAGTGCTGTCAAACTTGCTTCAAATCCAGTTTTTCACGCAAGAACCAAACACATCGAAGTACGACATCATTACATTCGAGAGAAGGTACTGGAGGAAGAAATTGTATTGAAAGGCATATCTTCAAATGATCAAGTTGCTGACATCTTTACAAAGGCCTTGGGAAAAACTAAGTTTGAATTTTTCAGAGGAACTCTTGGAGTTTGCAGTCGTAAGCATGCACTATGGGGGAGTATAGAAAATTAGTGCATCTTACTTATTTAATTAAATATCTACTGGTTTGCC